CAGTGGTGCTGCAGAGTTCTGCCCGTGAGCTGTTTCATCAACTTGCACTTCAGTCTCAGAGGCTTATTCTTGAGCTCTGTGTACTTAAGAATCTAAATGGGGTGCTTCAAGCAGAAGCTCAAGGCTACTAGAGCCCTTCTGTTTCTCCAGCACACGAGTGTTTGTTGACATCCCTCCCCCCCAGAGTCAAGGCTGACTACAAGACAACAATCCTGTCTTAAGCTGCTGAGCTGTTTCTTGGAGACCTGAAACAGAACAAAAAGAACTGCTACATTCAGGCAAGTGCCAAACCAATCCAGAAGACAGGTGCAAAGGTGCTGAGATGTCCAGGCTGGAACACATGTCAAAACCAATGCCACACATGTAGAAGGGCCATGAATTTAAACTGCTTCAGGAAAAGGGTTTTCAAGAACTATCCAACACAGTACTGTCATGCAAAAACTTGCTTTCAGGCAGCTGTCATACCAGGATTGAGAAGCAAGAGTTTAATCACAACAGAGTAGGACAGACACTGGGGGAAGAAAAAGCAACACACTGTCTTCTCTGAAATCACTGTAAGGAACAGAATAGGTTTCACCTGAATAGCCACACCAGCAGAAACCCTCCCTAGGCAAGGCAAAAAAAGTTTCCTAGCACTCCACAGTCAGAACACATCTCTCTCCATACTTAATCCAGACCTCTCTACATCACAGAGCCTTTCCCCATAATCTACAAGAAAACACCTTTTATTCTTTATACAAACTCTTTTCATGAGGCCAACAGCCCTGCATATTGCACCCCACAAGCACAGACCTCCCCATGAACACACAGACCACAGGACAAGGACAGTGCAGTGCAAGCCCCGTTAGTATTTGATTCACCACACATTCATGCACTATTCCCTCAAATCTTGACCAAACATCAAAAGCCATTTGGGAGGGAGGAAGAAATCCCAAAATCCAGATTGTCCATTAAATGAAAGAACAGCATTTATACAGTGTATGGGGGAAAAAAGCAAACCCTTTCTACTTAACTACCCTTTGGGTTTTCCAGAGTAAGAGATCTCCTCTCTTTGATTCTTTTCCCCTATGCACACCTGAAAGGAGGACGCTACTCTTGTTCTCCTCAGCTTGACTGCACCTAAGATTCCAACACTTTTGCCAGTAAAAATAGCTCAGCACCAGAAGCAGCCATTACTAAAATCTGCTGCTGCATTTCCACAAATTCTATTTCCATATGCTGAGTCACTCATTTCAGTACAACATATTTTAAGCTTTTTTAAAAATGTTGTTTCAAAAACATTGGGCATAAACTTAGTTTTGAGCACATTTTTGGTCTCACAAATGTCAACTGTCATAATTTTAATATTTCAGCAAAGCAGTTTTAGAGGTTTCTTAGCAATCAAATTTGACTAGAAGGGTTTTAAATGCCTCCCTTAGTTGTTTTTATTCATGTTCATATAATAATATCATCAAGGTGTTTTTGCCAATGCTTATATTGCCATTCAGAGACAAAAGCATTTGAGGCCAAAAAATAAGCTGCATTCTTCAGAGCAATGACCTTACTTTACCAGTCTGATGAACTGCACTCAATTCCTAGGAACAAAATTAATCATCCTTGGGATGCTGTCAGAAATCAGATACAGGCTGGCCATAATTACCACCCGCTGCTGGTCCAACACCCGGCAGGGACTGGGGCCCCTCTCAGCTTGAGCCACAGGAACAAGAGCAATCAGAAACCTGTGGCTGAGACACTGAACATCTGCTGCCAGATCCACATTTCCCCATCATCCCAGGTTAACAGCCAGCCCTGACAGACAGAGGATACCAGGCTCTGCTCAGAGTTTCACACCACAGTACACTTCTCAGCACAAGAAAGACATGGAGCTGCTGGAGTGAGACCAGAGGAAGCCACAGAGATGCTGCCAGGGCTGGAGCCCCTCTGCTCTGAGCCAGGCTGGCAGAGCTGGGGCTGCTCCCCTGGACAAGAGAAGGCTCCAGGCAGAGCTCAGAGCCCCTGGCAGGGCCTGAAGGGGCTCCAGGAGAGCTGCAGAGGGACTGGGGACAAGGCCTGCAGGGACAGGAGCCAGGGAATGGCTGCCAGTGCCACAGGGCAGGGCTGGGTGGGAGATTGGGCAGGAATTGTTCCCTGGCAGGGTGGGCAGGCCCTGGCTTGGGGTGCCCAGAGCAGCTGTGGCTGCCCCTGGATCCCTGGCAGTGCCCAAGGCCAGGCTGGGCAGGGCTGGGAGCAGCCTGGGACAGTGGGAGGTGTCCCTGCCATGGCAGGGGTGGAATGAAATTGTCTCCAAGGTCTCTCCCAACTCCAGCCATTCCGGCATTCTGTGATTCCACAGTTGTTTGCCCCTAGGTCAAAGATGCTGCCAGTTAACACCACCAAGTTCCTACACAGGGAAGAGACAGTGAAGAACTTGCGCAGCCTGGACTATCTCACCTTCTGCACTGGTATTATTTAATAAAAAACAGATTTATAGCAAACAGATATTTAAAAAAGAAAATCATGTATGATCTTCCTTTTTCTAGACAGTGTCAGATTGTCCATAAATTGCCTTTGGCAATTTTTTCACCTACATAAAAGACATCTGGGGACAACTGTGCTGTGTGGGATTGATTCCTTTCTGAGGGAGAGGGCAGGAGACAAGAAGTGGACATAAGAACAGTAGATTCTACACACTTTCTGACAATAGCTGCTCCACACATTGATCCAGCCTTGGAGAACACTGACCCATCTTCAGATACTTTCACCTTGATGGGGCAGGAAGGCAAGTGACTAGCAGGAGGAAAAGACAGCATCCAACTTGTTCACCAGAATAAAACAACTAGCTAGAAATCCATCTCTGAGGGCCTGGTGAGACACTGTGGTTTGCTGCTGTGTTCCTACGTCGAAGCCATGGAAGCAGTAGGAGATAGGAAAATTATACCTTTGTAGTACTATAACACTGCTACTAATTTTAAAAACAAACAAAAAAACCCCCAAAACCCCAAAGGCAGCAAACCCACACACATGAAAAACATCTCTGCCTTCTCAGTACAGCTTATTTCCACCCCGTCTCCTCATAAAAAAAAAAAATTAAGAGTCTATTTTTGCATACATCACCTACATATAACGAGGTTGTATACTCAAATGGATCATTTAGGCCAGCAGCTTGAAGCTTGCAGGTGCCTGAATACAGAGCTGCACATCAGACAGAAGTGCCCTGATCATTTTTAGCACAAGTCAAAATTTTTCACCTCTCCTTTGCTGAACTCTGTCATTCTGCCTAAATGCCTTCCAGGCTGTTTCTAAAGTATCTGGAAGTGCAGAAAGAACAGCTTCTCTGAACTTCTTCTTGAAGTCTAAAAACATAGCAAGTTTGAGCTTTCTAAACTTGGTGACTAGAAGTCTACCAGCTTCACAGGCAGCTTATCCACATGTGGTCAGTGACAGCCAGTAACTGTGGGAATCAATCCAGAGAGCTCACAACAAATAAGCAAGAAACAAGACAGAGACCAAAGCCTCAAGAGAGAAAGCAGGCTGGTACAACAGCTGGAAGAGATGGATTCTGAAAGTAAAATGGCATGTCTCAAGTCAAGACAAGAAGGGCCTTTTCCAGAAAAAAAAAGTGACAGAACATGCAAGAAACAGAAAGAAAATAGTGCTTGAATTCACAGCATACAGCAGATTTCACATTAAGTTTATGTCAGCACCAAACACTGTTCAACAAACACAGATAAATAAGCTGCTACACACAACGTTCACATTTCCATTCAGACTGTGCTTACTGCTGCTGCTGTTTCCACAAACTTGGTACTGCACAAGACAACTCCCCAAGGAGTTCATCTGGTCCTGCAGAACCACCCACAGCAGGGCTATAAACTCACTGCACAACACATTTAACAATCACAGCAGCTGAAGATGTTGCTGTTCATATTCCAGTCAGGCCTGGAAAGAGCCTACTGCAATCCCAGCTGTAACTCCTGACCGCTGAACACCTTGAATCAGGGAAACCACACTGGGGTCATTATACACACAGTTACTCTGCTCCAGAACAAAACACAGGACACCCACAGTAACTTCTCATGCAGCACAGACTTAGAGGCTCAGGACCCTTGATTTTATTATTCATCACGCACATAGACATAACCCAGGACTCAACAGGAATCTGAGAAATCCCATCAACTCTAAAGGTTTGATAAAGACTATGGAACATGTGCATCGTCCTAGCTGTAATGTAACAAGTCACAGAACGGTTCACACAGCTCCAGAAAAAAAAGTGGTTACAGTGAGTACAGGGAAACAACAACTCATAGAGGTGAGAGCCGAGCAACATGAGCAGTCAACACCCACCATCAGCGAGTAAAATGAACAAAACTACGAAGACCTCAAAAAGCGATCAACTATAATAACAACAGGCGTTAACAAAGGAATTAATCCCTACCGTTCCCAACTCTTTCCTCTTTTGTTTTCCACAGACGCTTCATTAAGTGATCACAGGATCCCCGTGCAAGTCCTCATGAAACAAACCGTGCTTCCTTTCCCAGCAAGTCTCGGATACAACTCTGCCCAACAGAGCCCGGCAGGAGCACTCGCCTCCCCACGGCTGTGCCACGCCAGCCCCAACGCGTACCGCCGTGAGAGTGCCCCAGGACCGTCCTGCCTCTTCCAGCCGCTGAAACGGAGCGAACACTCTGCCGGGAACTGCCCCCCGAGCACAAACAGCAGCGGCTGCTGCTTCAGCCGCGCTTCCTGCGGCCCCAGGCCCTCGCCACACGGGCACCGGCCCCGCGGCCGGCGCTGACGCCAGCCGGCACCGACCGCGCCGGCAGGGACCCTGGGGTACCGCCAGTCAACAAGGACGCGCCAGTCCTAACCGACGTGGGAGATTTAAAAGCTGTGTCCGCACAGACACGGGAAAAATAAACATGAAAGATGAGGCCATTAACCGGACGGAGAAAGGCCCTGAGACGCGGCGCGAGCCCGCCGCGCATCGCGGCACCGCGACCCGCGGCCTTCCCGCCGCGAGCGCGGCGGCCTCGGGACCCGCTCCCCGCCCTGGACATAA